GGATGGCCGGAAACATAGAGATTTTTACCTATTCTTCCTGCTAGACGGAACAAAAGACGCTCCGTTTTTAGCAATGTGGTTTAGTTTTCCGACATACAGCCTTGTTACTTAAAGGGGAGGGATTTTAACTGGTTTAACCCAATCACATTGAGCGCCAGCATCAAGCTATCTAGACCGTGCGGTGTTCGTTGATGTTTGTCTTTGTTCTTATGTCTGGTATTTTTTCGGGGACTCGGTTGGAAGTTAGTGGTTGGTGTAGTCTATTTCAGTGTTTTTAATTATCCTTGTTATCGTTTATATTTGTTGTAAATCGAAATACATGACTGTTCTTTGGATTTTATTTTATTTCCTATAGAATATGTCCCCGAGTGTCCTAGTTGGTCTATCTAAATATGCCAAAGAGCAATCTATGATGTCAAAACATATATCAGTAGCGAACAATTCAACCTGTCTAATACTGAAATACAGTGGTATTTGGAATATGATGAAAAACAATTGCATGTATTTATATACTAGTATTCCATCTCCTCTCGGAAAACGTTGATCGCACGTTTGACAAAGAAGTTTGTAATTTCAAACTTCCAAATTAAAATTTTCCTTTCGAGGCATTTTTAGTCGACGTGACATTTTATTCATTTTTAACTTAGATGTCCGAATCATACTTGGATGCTCCGAACGGATAAGCAGCTCCTGTTCCACTAGAAGAATAGTAGTTTTGCTCATAGCAAGTAAAACCCGATTATAAGTCACATTTGTTTATGTCATACACGCGGAAAGTATTGCCGGATTGTGACTATGACAACTGGAGCATAACCGTAGTCATCTGTGAAACAAATACTCCATAAAGTACGGTCAACCATTTTGGCATCAATTGAACTTTAGAAGAAGAGACTTCATCTCTACGTCCAATAAGCCTGGAATTTGTAGCTTACATGTAAAGAGCAGCCCTCTGTCAAGGTAATGATGATAAGAAACGCGAGCTTAGAAAAACCGTTTCAACTTTGAAATATATTCTCGATATGTAGGTTCTGCTGGAATGAACTAGAGTCTACATAAAAATGGATAGTTAACAAATTTAAAAGTTTATCGTCTCTTTAGTCGTAAAACATACTGATTAGGCTTTGTTTAGATCACTAACTATGATTTCAGTTTATAAATGTATGAAATAATCAGTTATAGTAATCAGAAACCCATTCGTCTTGAAAAAGATTATGGTGACTTATTTTTTTTAAAATTAGATTGAAATGTAAATACATTTAGACAATGTTTCCGGTATTTCTAAGGAAAGTCTATAGTAAATGAATTTAAGTGTCTATATCGACCTTAATCTTTAAACGCAGGGAAATACGCATGATTCAGGAAAAACTTAGGATATGATGACTATCAAATACATGAATAGCTAGAAGCATCAAATCCAAAACGTGACTTAAAATACCTAATTTGTCTACGTTTTAGTTAACTTCGCCTGAATAAATTGCAATGTTAATTTAATTATTTAAGGAATGACTGTTATATTTGTTCTGTCTATGAGGTAATAACATCAAAAATGTGGTGCACTATGAATAACCCGCGCAGGGTGTTATTTAAAAGTGTGCACCACATTTTTGAGGTTATTTCGAATAGACAGAAAAAAATATAACAGTCATTCCTTATAATTTAATTCTAAATTCCATTTTTAAGGAGTAAATCATGAAAAAACGTTGACGACGTCACGGTCACATGAAAAAATTATGTTTATGAGCTGATTGACAAAAAACTTTCAGCCAATCAGAGGACGTGTTACATCCGAAATTAAATTATTGATATGTATCTTATATAAACCCAAAATTCACAATTAAAATATTTTATCTAGACCATTTACGTGCCATGTACAAAATTTGTGGAAGGTATGCTCTGAACTGTCAGTCTATTGTCGCATTATACCGAATCCCTTCCCTTGTCACGTGTTCCTGGGATAATCTCCATCGGATAGTACTACACCCGGGACCAAATATTCTGCCATAGTGGAAGGTTTTAGTATTAAAATAAACGTAACAGAATCCCCAAACATTGTGAAAGTTACATTTCAACATGAATCTTTCTGAATTCGTTGTAATAGAGTGATAACGGAGCGTTAAGCAGAGTTAAATCAAATAAGGTTAAGAGAGGATTAACAAAAAATAATGACCTATATCGAAATTTTCAAGTAGCATATACAATCTCTTGTCAATAAAACGACTTAAAATAGTAACATAAACACATTATACCAATATCAATGTACTCGGTACCTGTTTTGGTTGAACCTTCATTAGGAACGTTTAGAGAAGTCAAGTGCTGAAACAATGTGAGAGGTTAGAACTTAGAAAGAAACGATATAGGAAAGCCATATTTGTCAAAAGTACATAACAGCATATAAAGTACAATCTGATTGGTCCATGAAGAAAAACCTTTAAATTAAGCAAAAACAATTCATTTTTATCAAATATTGAAAGTTTCATATAAAACTTGCATGAAACCATAAATGACAACAGCATACAAGGAACAATCTGATTGGTCCACGAAGAAAACCCTTCAAATAACGCAAAAACAATTCATTTTTATCCAATATTGAAAGTTTCATATAAAACTTGCATGAAACCATAAATGACTGTTATACATGTACATGTGGGAAGGCTTGTGCCAAAATCTGGTACCTTTGAAAATGCAAGCATGAAATCAGGATAAGAACAAACGTTATTCATTTGTTCTATAGTTGGTAAGCTTTTCTTCTTTTTTTCTTTTTTTTAATTGTCCAATAAGGCACTTTGAGTTTATAATTTCAAAGGAAATTAGTAGATATTGTATCTCAAAACATTTTAAGTCACTCTCGGAGACAAATGAAAGTTGCATAAGTTTTAGATTTGAAAATTTTCTTTAGCCGAAGGGTTTTTTAATGGAATAAATAAAATTAGTTGATGCCTCAGATTTACGCCTTTTAGTCGGAAATTCAATTTAATTGATAAAACTGATTAATTATTTGAGATATTGTCTGTATGAAACACATTATTTGCATATCGAACAATCGTGGGTGTTCATTTATTAGCCCACATAACCATACAGTGAACGCCCCCGCAATTGTAGCTTACCCATATACAAGAAATATTTATCTAACTATAGATTCTACATAGAAATAAAAGCAGATGTAGCCTTTGTTCCGGCCGCCTACACCTTTAAATTGATCTTTTATTCTATAAAAAAAAACTGAAGACAATTTTTGATTTTGATTTTTAATTTTAGTAACGCTTTATATTACAATATTTTACTTCGAGCTGTTAATAGTTCTTTTAAACCTAAAAGTGGTATCAATCGATACGTTTTTAAACAAATGACAGTTAAAAGATATAGATGCTGTTAAAAATGTGTCATATTCCACAGGAATGTTAGAATTTAATGTGGTAAATATTGGGTGTCAGGATTTGGGATAATAGCATATTAACAAAAGAAGTATCATCTTTGAGAAGAAAGTTACCTGTAAGCTTCCAGATATTATGCAGGATAGCCTTAACCCTTTATGATAAGAAGTATCTTCTAAGCTGTTTTCATTTGATTGTTACATAAAAAATGGCACCATGACATTCAAAAGACTTAATCTTCAAAACCGTTTCCTTTAAATCGTTTTACAACTTTAATAACATATTTACAATTTTGAAGCAAAAAAAAAGATAACCAATAAAAACGTAAAATAAAATACAAAACAAACAAACAAACAAATAAAGCAAAAACTTGGTATGGTTGTTGTTGCTCTTGTGTGTATAATAAAACATTCAGATTTGTCAAATTAACCAGCTATAATATTCTTGAGGTTATGTTGACCTTGAATTCATGTTTTTATTCGACAGACATTGGATGATAATTAGTACGCCAAAATCTGGTACCTTTGAAAATGCAAGCATGATATCATAAGAATAATGTTTGTTAGTTTGAATAAAAATTCATACAAACAAAAAACACTACACAGATAACGAGAGATCAAGCTACACGAACCGTACCAATATCCGGGGGGTAAGCACAGTTGCCTAAAAAACATAAACAGAGGCGGAATATACCAAGGGGACATTCAAAACTTATACGTCGAAGAGAAACAAATAACACTATGGCCAAAACCTGTTTCTACTTCATCAGTAAAACCCGTCGTTTCACTTATATTAAACTCAGAAATTTTGTTCAGAAATAATGCAGTGACTGTAAATAATTTACATCGAGTTGTAAGCATTGCATGTCCGTATCGCAAACGCAAATTAAAGTAGAAGATGAAACGTAGTTTTATTTCAAATATAAACCACTTAAATAAATGGTAGAAAAGGTAAGTTTAAAACTCATAAGAGAAAAAAAAATTATAAGAATCTTCACAATACCAAAATCTTTTTAGGGTTTGGCACTAAGAAAATGGAAAAAGATTTATTTTACCAAATGGCATACCTTTATGATGAACTGACGTTTGTCAAAAGAAGGACTTTGTTCCGAATGGAATTCTACGTTCCTAAACTGAAGTTACAAATGCTATGTCAGCAAGTACGATGTAAAGAGATTCTGTTTGGTTTTTTTTCTGACCATTTCCAGAATAGCTCTTGTCTTATATGCACAGATTTTGAAACAACCGTAATCCTTCCATTTATAGATTTATTCAATTTTAAAAACATGACATTTCGCATTTTGTTTTGTTTACATTACACTTTAGAAGCATATATATATGATATCATTTTTGGAAACACGCGATTAAAATCAAATAGAGTTATTTTGGGCCTAATATTAAAAACGTCTGCAATTAATAAAAAAAAAAATAATAATAACAAAATGATCGATGATTTAAATTATGGGAAATGTTCTTTTAGTACTAATCAAAATGAAAATTAAGAGATGCTATGATTTAAATTATGAAGAATGTTCTTTTAGTGCCTATTAACATGAAAATTAAGAGATGTTAACAACGATTGCAAAATATAATTAGTAGCCATATTTAAATATTCTAAAGTTGTACTCACTTTAAATTGTTTCGCTTATCACATACTCTATCTACTGACGATAAGTTTTTAAAATAGTTTAGAAATTCCAATTATTTTCCCATTATGAACGATGTAGCAAGCATGTTCTAAAGTTGTTTTAATCATTAACAGTCAGAAATTGGTTTTTGAACGTAGCATCAATATTTATAGGAATTGGGCTTCATTACGTACCAACGCCTAACACCAATGAGAAACGCTGGACCGTATACGTTAAATGGCGGTCGATGCTTCCCTATTAATAAATGCATTAAGTTTGTCCTTCTTGTCAATAGATGTTTTGATTTGATTTCAGTAATGGCTATTCATTATAAGAATCGAGTTTAAATCTCAAACCCATTTCTGCTATAGTATCATTACAGCAAAACTTGAAAAGAGAGCAAATAGAAAAAGTAGATAACTAAACAATTATACATTTTACCAGATTATAATTTGTCATTTTTGTCATTTGTTGTTGTTATTTATGATATTTGTTTTAGAATTATGTATTTATTTCCCTCTTCGATTTTTTACAAATTCGATGGCGTTAAAAGAGGATATTTAGTCACGAATGCAACATGAGTCGAAACTTTGAAATTGAAATTCCTTCCAAAACAGATTTGTTACATAGTCAAAAATAAACCCCCACATAGTTACGAAAAGATGAATCATATGGCGTGTATTATTTCGTCACAAGACCACGATGAACAATTATTAATTATATATACATGTGTATGCCCAAATTTGGCTTTTCTAACAGATTTTACATTTTGAATGTATGTTTTATGTTTTTTTATTTCATATTCATAAAAGATTGAAAGATTATAATTATATGTGATATATAATACCTATTTACACACTAAAGAGACTAAACACGACATTTTGATAAATATCAATCAAAGAGCCGGATATAAAAACTTTAATCTTTAAATGAAAGATCTTTCACATCTGTGCAATTGTCTTAATGGTCTTATTTGGTAATTGGTACAGATCTTTTCTACATGCACTGTCTTACTGGTCTTATTTGGTAATTGGTACAGATCTTTTCTAACTGCACTGTCTTATTGGTCTTATTTGGTAATTGGTACCGATATTTACCACGTCCAATTGTATGTGACATAACTATGATTATAAATGAAAGATATAAGAACGATTTTAAATAATTGAAATTGGACTATGTAATTTAACAGTATAATGTAGATTTAGAAAAAGTACGATCAAAATAGTGTAAAACTAATAATATCAACAAAAACAACTTATTCAGTCCGAACATGGAAATTACAAGCGGTTTTAGATTTTATACTGGGAAAAAAAAATGAACATAAATTGAAATTCGGGATACTTGACGTGACGGTTTTTTGTTTTTCAGCAGACGTAGAGTTTAGTAAGTTTTCTTGTTACATCTGATGCAACTCAGAAATGTTTTCTTTTCTTATTAAATTGAATAAGCATTCTTGAATTTATATATGAAAAATTCAATCTGATTACAGACATAAAAATAAGTTTTATTTAACTACAAGAGACAATTGCGTGATATTTGCTGTTTGAACGTCTGCTGCTTAAGTTGTTGAATGCTCAATCTAATTCGGCTCCCCACGTGACTTCCGGTTTCAGTAATATTCTTTTAATACAAATTAATTTAAGATCCTTTACAGTCAATTGCAAACGCTGATTCTTGTTTGGTTTTAAAGAAAACTGTTTAGGATAAAGGATAGTTTTGCAATAATAAGTTAAATGATGTATTCATATTAATATGTTATTAGTTGAATTCAAGTGGTTCGATTTGATCACTAAATGAGAACGCTTTGGTTGGTACATTGCTTACATAACATGACGATATCGAATTTGAAATCGATTTTTCGTTCTTCTTTTTCCATTGTACATTTACGAGGTGTGTAACATGTGCGTTATATATTATACTATTTCAGCTTTGTTTTTGAAGCTCGAGATTTCTTGAACCTATTATATACATGAACTTTGTGTACGTGCTGTTCATGTATTACTATTCTATTCTGATAGCATTATGGTCCTTTGTTGTCTTCTTCTTTGTTCTTTGTTCTTTTTTCTGGTTTAAGTATTGTTTGTTACAGTGGGTGAGATTTTTATTGACACCTTAGCATCTTCCCATTATAGATAAAGTAACAGTGCTATAGTGACAATTTTCCATCAATATGATGTTGTTAGGGGAAATAACTCTTTTTCATCGACAGCTTTTGTGTTGTCTTTTTTTTTATACCAAAGACAAAAATTTTTAAAACCATTAATCTATATTTTTGCTCCTTGATTGATCGACCATATCAATTCTTATTTTTTTTTTTGTATCTATTGCAGAGAGAACTGTTTACATTACGTTTTTTAAACTTCCATTTAACCCCGCTGTAAACGTTTCACTAATTAAAAGAAGACCCTAATACATTACGGAGAGGTCTACTTTACCAACATAGTCAATCAGTTTTAGATTCTTAAAAAAAGGATCAAGGTTTTTCAGAATGTCATAAGTCATAATAACTAAAATTTTATAATATTACTGAATTATTAGATTTTTTACGCTCTGTACCAACATTCCTCATTCTGATCTAAACATTCGTTCATATACTGTATGCTCTCAAAGTTTGTTGAGGAAACTTTTATTTGTTAAGAACCATACTGATTCCAATAACAGATGGGCAGAAGCGTAATAACTATAAAATAACTTAATTACATATAATTCTTTTAATGAGTGTATTTGTTTTAGTTGATTTTGATTTTTTTTTTTTGTATTTTAAATCAATATATAATAATCTTAAATACAAAAAAAATAAGATGTGGTATGATTGCCAATGAGACAACTTTCCACCAACAGACCAAAAAGGACATAGAATTTTGCAACTCTATGTCACCGTATGGCCTTCAACAATGATCAAAACGCACACTGCATAGCAAGTTTTAAAGACCCCGACAAGACAAATGTAAAACACTTCAAACGAGAAAACTAACGGCCTGATTTATGTACAAAACAATAAACGAAACAATTATGATATACATAAAAAAAACGACAACTGTTGAATTACAGGCTCCTGACTCCTGACAGGCACATACAGAATATTGGGAAGGAGAGTTAACAAATTTCCGGGCGCCCAACCCTCCCCTTACCTGGGACAGTGGTGAAACATCACAACATAAGAACAAACTATAAAAATCGGTTGAAAAAGGCTGGGCTCATCAGATCGACACAAAGCAAACAAACAAATACAAAAAAGAAGATTTAAGACACAAAGTACCGATCTGAGAGTACTCGCAGTTACTGAAAAAGATCGTTTAAAGCCAATAACAAATAAGGAACAAATCATGCATTCAAGACTTAAATATCAATCAGTACACACCCAGTTAGTGAAAAGACGTCATAATCAGTGAGAGAGAAAACATTATTCTGTGCAGTGCAATGCCAAAATATTAGTATCGACAGCGTGTAGGACCGTGAAAGTTTATAGCTGTATGGCAACAATATTTAATTATGTTTTAATTTTTTTATAACAAAATCAATGTTTGGACCGATAAAATACAATATGAAAAGATCTTATTACAGCTGAGTGTTAAATTGATAACCTTTTCGAATAAATTTGACTTGAAATTACAAAAACAAACATGTATAGAAATATAAAGATGTGAGATACTTTAAACATAATATGAAAAAAGCCGTCTGAAATAATGACCATGCGCATGACATAAAAAATAGAAAATGAAGAACAAGTAATCATTGCTGCATTCTGCAATTACATTTTCACCTGTTACCTTGACAGGGTATATGTACCCATATACCCTGTAAAAAAAATCAGAACTGTCATTAATATTGAAATCAGGACACTTCAGTATAATATCATTGTTATTCGAGCTTCACAAGAGATATGTGCTCATATTCCCTGTCAGTGCTCTATATTCCCTTCGCAAGACGGTCCAGGAGATATAAAACACTGACAGAGACTATGAGCCCATATCTCCTGTGAAGATACCGAATAACATGTACTAGTATCCTAAGGTTGTGTTACTTTTTTATGCTTAATTTCCCGAATAAATAACTGTAGACACCATTTAAAAAAAGCAACGAAATGGCTTATTTTCATTTAGAAAAAATAGAATTTTTAATTATAATTCAGTCGGTTTTCTACGTCTTGTGAGCTATGTACACGACGATCTTTTCTTGTGCGACAAGACCTGCTTACCTTTCAAAGCACCACTCTGTTGCTTTATTCTATCTTTTGTTTTTATTTAATATTTTCGAAACTAGTATGTGTCTTTTTCGGCCAATTTCAATAACTTGTGAAATGTTAATATCAAAAATGTGTTAAATGCATAAAATATACCTCGTTCCATTTCTGGCATTTAACTATTCACTATAAAACAATGTTCTAGACAAATACAATAATAATATAATAATTCTGTTTTAAATGGAATCATCAATATTATCTCGAGCATTAGCAAAACACAATATTGAGACAAAGCTCCTGGTACCAATGACATATGGCAATAACCATCCAACAATAGGTATTGATTCCGTAATATTACATTCCACTTAACACTAAACCCTTGTCTAAACACGATCTAATACAAATCAGACACGTCTATGATATAACTAAAACCATTACAAATAAAGAATTTCCTACAGTTTTGTTGAGCACAATAAAAACAAATTCGTATGACATATCTCAACATGTACTCCGTTTACATACCGTACTCGTGTAACCGACCCGATCATCTGTGATATAACACGGCGGATACGATTGCGCACCGCTGTATACTACTCCTTGAAGAGCTGACCAAGCAGTCAGTAAGCATTTCAATTTCCACTGGTTGGCACCTTGTTGAATTTAATTTTTTTTCTGGGTAGCCTTTTGATAAATCTTTTTCCATTATTATGTAGCTCCAAGATCTGTAAAGTGAAAATTGGATAAATGTCCATGACACTTCCCTGAACCATTTAAAAAAGAAAATTTTTAAAAACATATTACAATTTATAAATGTGATCGTTTGACTTTTTCTTTTAATATTAATGCTAAAAAAAAATTTCTTGCCAATTTCAACTGTCACACATTTAAGGCATGATATGAAGGTAAAGTTCACTAAATTTAAAAAAAAAATCATCA